AATCTGTTACTGTGACCCAAGTTTGAAGGTGATACTATGAGCTTAGATTACATAAATAGTAAATAACAAACAATTACTCACAATTTCCCAGATTACATTTACCATTGAATGCATACATATGTGATCTAAAAATATACATATATGCCAGACAAATTATCAGGGAGAAAACGTGAACAAAGGTGGGGTGCTCTGGAGAAAGGAGAGGTGGTTCAGAATTGTGGTTCAATCTTACCCTGCTACCAACTGTTCATCAGTTAGTGGAGTTTGATCTCTGAAATGGGAATAGGGCCATAAAGAAAAAAGAAAAAAAAAACGAACAAACAAAAAGGAAAAATGCAGCAGACAAGTCGGCAGGATGCATGACATAAGGGTGACAAAAACAAACCAAATTTTAAGATTGGTCAACCAGGACAGCAAGTTTGTTTTCTTTTTATATATTTAAATGTAGCGTCAACATTAAATTGTGATAACTTTTTTTTTTTTTGCATTTAAAATTATGAATTGTAATCTACTTTTAACTAAGTTCTCTTCTGGATCAGGCCATACATATATTGTGTTTCTTAAAGGTATATTTCACCCAAAAATTAACATTTGCTGAAAATGCATTCACCCAGGACCATCCAAGATGTAGATGGTTTGTGTCTTCATCAGAACAGATTTGGAAAAATTTAGCGTTACATCACTTGCTCAGCAGTGAATCATCTGCAGTGAATGGGTGCCGTCAGAATGAGAGTCAAACAGCTGATAAAAATATCACAATAATCCACATGACTCCAGTCCATCAGTCAATGTCTTGTTTATTACAAACATGCAGTTTTTCATTTCACAAATCCATCAACCAGCATTTGAACCATCCATCCAGGCCTTCTTTATACTGCCCCGATTGGTCTCTTTAGGCTCCTCCTCCCAGTCACTCCAGTACATCATTCTGCAAACAGCACAGATTTATTAGGGCTGTGCAATTAATCGCATGCGTTTGTCATGCGCATCTCGTCAGTAAAGCCGGTTCCGTGATTAGTAGTATATCTCCATCACCTGCTTTCTGATGGAGCGGCATTTAATACACAGAGCCGTAGTTCACCGACAAGCCAGACAATATCGCGTTCATAATCGAATGCGCTTCATCTGCGATTATGAACGCGATATTGCCTAGCTTGTCAGTGAACTACGGCTCTGTGTATTAAATGCCGCTCCATCGGAAAGCAGGTGATGGAGATTTACTACTAATCACGGAACCGGCTTTACTGACAAGATGCGCTTGACAATCACATGCGATTAATTGCACAGCCCTACCACCAGGGATTACTGCATGCAGAAAATGCTGACAACAACAGAATGCAAAGAAAACACAACTCTAGTATAATTTACAACAACAACATGCATAGTTCTAAAGGAACTTACAAAAGGAAAAATAAACCCTTAATTCTTGTCTTTGCATAATACCTTGAATCACCATCCTGGTCCTCTATAGAGTCACCTGAAGTATTCAAGGCATACGGACTCCGCTGTTTTGCTTTGAAGAAAGAAAATACACACCTTGAAAAGGGCAATTCTTTGTGTATATTGTGTATATAGTGTAAAGTAATATAACTGAGAGCGGAAATACAAAACAGTCTTTTTGCAATGTGTCATAACAGTGTGACCGTGTCTGTTTGATACTCAAATATGTGACCCTGGAGCATAAATGCAGTCATAAGTAGCACGGTTATATTTGTAGCAATAGCCAACAATACATTGTATGGGACAAAATTATCGATTTTTCTTTTATGCCAAAAATCATTAGGATATTAAGTAAAGATCATGTTCCATGAAGATATTTTGTAAATTTCCTACCATAAATATATAAAAACTTAATTTTTGATTAGTAATATGCATTGCTAAGAACTTTATTTGGACAACTTTAAAGGCAATTTTTTCAATATTTCGATTTTTTTGCACCCTCAGATTCCAGATTTTCAAATAGTTGTATCTCAGCCAAATATTGTCCTATCATAACAAACCATACATCAATGGAAAGCTGGTTTATTCATATATATATATATATTCATATAAATAAATTTCAAATTAACCCTTATGACTGGTTTCACCCATAGAAAACATTTGGCGCATCATAAAGAGGAAGATGCGACAAAGAAGACCTAAGACAGTTGAGCAACTAGAAGCCTGTATTAGACCAGAATGGGCCTGTATTAGACCATTCCTATTCCTAAACTTGAGCAACTTGTCTCAGTCCCCAGATGTTTGCAGACCGTTATAAAAAGAGGGGATGCCACACAGTGGTAAACATGGCCTTGTCCCAACTTTTTTGAGATGTGTTGATGTCATTTGATTTTTCATCTTTGTTATATTATGAATGAAATTTGAAACTTCCACATCATTGCATTCTGTTTTTATTCACAATTTGTACAGTGTCCCAACTTTTTTGGAATCGGGTTTGTACTTCAATTCAAGTGTAAAATAAATACACTTACAAGAGGAGTAGGATTTTCCTCTGGTACATGGATTTGTAATAAATACAATTATTATTATAAAGTGAAAGTCGTGACATTTGACAGTATGGTAACCCATACTTGGAATTGGTGCTCTGTTAACCCATCCAAATGCACACACACACATGTTTGTTTCTTTGAATTGTGGGGAATTTCCATAGACTTCTATTACTTTTATACTGACCAACCTTTCTGTTTCACAAAGGGTTCTTTGTGGTGAAAGAAGGTTCTTCAGATTATAAAAAGGTAAGAAAGAGATGGTTCTTAAAGAACCTTTGACAGAATGGTTCTTTGTGGAACCAAAAATGGTTCTTCTATAGCATCGCTTGAAGAACCTTTTGAAGCACCTTTATTTTTAAGAGTGCATAACCATCTGCCTGTCATGTTCCCCTCTGCAAGTCTGTTTATAAAACTGAGGTCTAATAAGGTTATTTTAATAGTAGGCTATTTTGAGTGTAATAAAATATTACTCCATAACCACTGCTAATGCTGAACATTATGACAAATGAAAAGATAAATGAAAAAATAATGATGAATGAAAAGACTCAAAATCCATTCCTTGATTGAATGCTTTATTTATATACTTTTTGACACCTTTAATGCATTGAATCATAATTGAGTTGAGGCAGGGATCTCGAGCAGGACTTCAGAAGTAACGGCTGGAGAGAGCGGACACAACTACGGACAGGAATTTCTGCCAGGTGGCCTGAACAGCGGGGCTGAACGCGGATCCAAATGCAGTCGCAACGACGATGGTGAGACAATCGGCCAGCAGCTGTGTGAATCAAGAAAACGTGCATTTGTTAGGTAACAACCGTCTGTCTAACTGAGGTGCTGCGATATCCTTATTAATAAGCTCAAACTTGGAAAATAAAGAAGTAGCATTTACCCTGAAGTTGTCTGGATCAACGTTGAGTTTGTCGCAGTGCAGCTGGCTGAGCTCAGAGTAAGTGCCTTTGATGCCATCCAAGTTCTTCACGGCTTTTTCCAACGCATTTAGCACAGTTTTCCCATGGTTTGACACCTTGGGATTGCCCAGGATTGCAGCCGCACTGGATAGGTTTCCAAAGGAACCGAAATACCTCTGAGTCCAGGGATATACAATCAGCACCCTGTCATGAGAAACAATGAAAATACATAAATCCAATGTCTGTTCAAAATGCACCACTGAATGAACAACATGTTGTGTATATCATCATTTACACACTGTTAAATTACCTTGCCAGAGCCTGGGGTCCGATTTCACCGACGTTGATTTTGCCCCAGACACTCGCAATAGTATTGCGCTCGGAATCTGACCACTCCACCATTGTGATTATCTCTTTACTTTTTCAACAAGTGTGAATGCTGAACATAGATAGATGCGCGCGGAGTTTTTATTTATACTTGCGTTCTCCGCCCCACATCAGCCGCTAAAACTGATTGGCTATGTGTGGTACCTAGTTGGATCCGATCCTAGTAAATGTTACATTTTGATTAGAAACTGCGAAGTTAGATTTGTCAGAAATATATTTCAAACATCGTCAAATATGTGTGGATCTATCAATCAACAAAATCACGATCTATATGTGTATTGTGTTTGTCTAATCAAGGCTTTAGCTACATGTGATTTGTCTAAATCCAAACTTTATTTACACTATAGTTATTAGCCTACTCAAAACCACTAGGCAGATGAAAGTCATATTAACAAAATGAATGGCAAATAATCAAAGTAGGCTATTCGAATTAATATTATAATATTTGAACACATTAATCAGTGGCAAACAGCTGAAAAGCTCAGGTGTGGTAGGCTATATACATTTAACATCGAATTAACCAAAACGACCCATCTAATACCTAATTTAAGTTTTTTTTTGCCTATTTGAACGAGTTCCAGCGCTTTTTCCTTTATCTGGACACTCAGACCAGCTCCTCCCATTTCAAACTGTTCTTAATTTGGTAAACTTTGATAACCGGGGATGTCCTGTTCTTTTTAAATTTGTCCCACCCTTTAGGTGGCACGTGGTGTCCCCAAATGACCCCAAAGCATCTCATACATGCAAAGACAGTCGACTGAATATAAATAGCATCTTAGTGGAATAATTAAAACAAAACAAATAAAAAAAGGACAATATTATTTCTTTTATTTCAGACAAAAAACATTCAGTAGCCTACATTCAGATACATTCAATACATTTTTCTACTCACTGAAACCAACGTAATTGTTTATTGTGGATTATTATATTCGATACTCTATTTCTGTAATTGTTTCAGTGTATTGATGATAGAAAATCGACAACTGGATTTCTAGGTACTTTCTGTTTTTAAAATAAATAACATAAATAAATGTAAAAAAAATAAAATAAATATAACCATTCAGTATTTTTGATAAAATACTGAATGATGAAATTAATTGACAAAAAATAGTCTGAACTTAAATTTTGGCTGAAGTCTGAGAGGTGGAGCTGGTGCTTGTTGGGTGTGGCAGCACTGCGCGTTATAAAAGACCCCTTATCCTACACCTAAAACTCTGCTCTTGTAATAACAAGGTGGAAAGGATCGGAAAATGAGTTTGACAGCTAAGGATAAAGATGTGGTCAAGGCCTTCTGGGGTAAAATCTCTAGTAAGGCCGACGCCATAGGCCAAGAAGCTCTGGGAAGGTAAGAGCTCCACATTTAAAATCATTTTTTTTATTTCAAAAGCACCTAATATTCTGGCAAAAACTATGTGCACTAAATGGATTCTTCTCCTTCCCGCAGAATGCTTGTTGTCTACCCTCAGACTAAAATATATTTTGCTCATTGGCCTGATTATTCTCTCGGCTCTGCCCAAGTGAATAAACATGGCAAAACTGTGATGAGAGCCATCACTGATGCTGTGGGCAAAATGGATGATCTTATTGGTGGACTGAGCTCCTTGAGTGATCTCCATGCCACCACGCTCCGGGTAGACCCTGGAAACTTCAAGGTGAGATATTTAATAATGTGCTGTAGCTTTTCAAACCTGTTTCAATCAATGTGTTAAATTAATCTGACACACTCAAATCATGGTATTGACTGAGCACTCTACTGAGTTAAATAGAAATGAGACATGTGAAATAAAATGCAAATTATTCATTCATAGTGCATTAACTGTTCATTTACTACTTTTTGGGTTGTTTTTCAGATTCTGTCCCATAACATCCTCGTGACTCTTGCAGTTCATTTCCCCGCTGACTTCACCGCAGAAGTGCACGTGGCCGTGGACAAGTTCCTTGCGGCTCTGTCTGCAGCCCTCGCTGATAAATACAGATAAACTCATCATTCCGGGGCTTCTCGTGCATCTGCAAACAGAGGCACTTCAAATGATAAAGCTAAAATATCAGATGCAGTTAATAAAATCTATAACAATCAAATTGTCACTTCTATGTGTTTTTTCTGGTCGACATGAACCAAATCAGTTTGAGACAAATAGGCTGCTTTGCATGACTGATTGTCCTTAACAATGAAGGAGAACACAGTTATTTGTATCCTCCCATTGTAAATCGGAGCTCAAAGGAGGAATCTTTCTATTTTACGAATTTCATTATGGCTGCTCCGTTCTAATAAGTTCCTCTTATTTACTCATATAGCCTAACCTTGAAAATATTTTAATTCATGCTGAAACAAAAATGTGATCCTGATACCAGCAGTGGAGTAAACTAGTAAAACACAGTGACATAGTAGAAATTGCATTGTGTAGATCCAGGGGTGTAAAAAGTCCTACTCCAAAATTCTCCATCCTAAGTAGATGTACTGTGTAACTATTTTACTCAGTTAAAAGTAGCCGACAAGCATCTGGCCAAAAACATACTTGAGGTGAAAGTAAAAAAAAGTACATCTTTAAATTGTTAAAGTAAATGCAAATCATCTTCTCAATGCAAAGTGAAAAAAAAGTGCATGAAATGTTTTTATAATTTTGATTATTAAAGCTACGCTTTACAATTATAGGCTGCCTACAATAGGTTGCTTATTTGTACATGCAACATGTAGCCCATATCAAAATTAGTCAAATTAATAACTATTTTTCACATATTTCTGTTTTTTAAATATATTTCTATATTTCCGTTTTGATTAATTCATAAATGTATATTTGTTCTTTCATATTTTTGTCCGTTCTTAATAAACATCACTTGTCTGGTGACTGAAATCTCTAAATGACTAGGCTATATACCGAACAGGGCTGCGTTTCCCCAAACATAACTATGTTCAAGTTATACCTTAAAGCTGTACCTTACCGTACGTGTTTCCCGAAATGTTCTTAGTTTAGTTTACCTTCTGTAAGTCATATTTTCGTAAGGTTGGTCTGGACCACTCCTAGATATACCTTATCATCACTGTTGACAGTTCACACTTCTTTATATTTCAGTCTATACGAATATACTGTAATTCTAAAGTTGTAATAGCCTACTCCCAGTGTTCAATAAAGACAAACTGAAGTGTTTTGATGCAAATAATAATATTGTCATTAGACTGATGGTTGTTAGCTTTTATATATATATATATATATATATATATATATATATATATATATATATATATATATATATATATATATATAT